TGATGTCAGATGAACAGCTGAAAAACCATTCCAAATGATCCTATTTTTCCATTTGTGCTAAGTGGCGTCCCCTATTTTTCTTTTTGGTGTGTTTGTTCTTTCACTGCTACACGTCACTAAGGTTTGTTGTAATCTAACTTTAAAAGATTGAAAAGTTTAAAAGTAAGAATTAATTGGACTTCAAATGGACGTGAAGTCAGATAGAGATAGAATAGTAGTTGAATTTGACTGTAAAAGATTTTAAAGTAAAAAAGTAAAAATAAATAAAAAAAGAATTTGACTTGAACTGGATGTGAATTCAGAGAGAGAATGGGACGACCAGGAAGTACTACTCACTCATATTATGACTCGTTTATATTCACATACCAAAGATGCGCTAACAAAGCATACAAAGTTTGAAGATTAAAAAGAAGTGCTACAGACTACATGTTTCAATGCATTGGTGCCTCAAGAGCTATAAATCAATCATTTAAACATAGGTATATTCTTTTTTCATGAAATATAAATTATTAAGCATATACATACACAATTGTGTTTGCATATGTATCGTGTATGTGCATGCATGTGTATGATTCTAATTTGTGGTGTATTTGATATGAATATAATCTGATTAGGTAAATACAATTTGGTAAAAGTTTCATGTGCATTTTACTAAAATTTGTAGTTAGACTAGCATAAATGAGGATAAATGTTGTTCTTTCTTGCTAACTGTTCACAAAAAAGATAAATAATGACTACAATATTATTATTTATTTATTTATTATTATTTTTTTATAATCGTGGGTGTCCGGGTCAACTTACGAGTACCTCAATTAATCCCATGGAACCCTGAAATTTATAGCTGGGTGCTCACCTCAGTGACCCTAAGGGAACTCGAAATGGTGACTACAAAAATGATGTATGATTTGGATCCAGACCTTATTTGATGTGTTATAGTTGACTCTTTCTTCTATTAGAAGCCTGTAAGAATTGCAATAATGAACTCTTGCATTCGAGTTAACGTTAATGAAAGAGAGAGCCTTCACAAAAATACCATTTTTTAAATTAGCTTATGTTTAGTTAACATAAAGCGAATCTACCTTTTGTTACTTACATGAATTTTCTTGTAACTTGTAGGTCAGTATTTCTAATTATAATGATCAGCTTAAGGTATTCATCTTTTCATTCTTGAATGAATTGATAACACAGCAACTGAGGTTGACCTATTAACTATTAAGCGTTCCTTTGCAGATGGGATTACTATTACTACATCCAGCTATGTAGCAATTGGGTACCATGGTCAGACTTGTAACTCTATGTACATTCCATTTTAGAATTTATATGGTTGACAAACACGGCATGGTCTGTAAGGTGGACGTGGATCTGATAGTAATGGACGGTGTTAAATAAGGAAGTTAAAGTTTTGTGTACTACATTTTCAGTTATGATCTAATATTATATTGCTACAAACATGCCATCAGGGCAATGAAAAGAAGGCACTTGTTTCTGCACTGTTATTGAAGAAGAGAAGATGATGGAACTTAAGGTACTTTGTAACCGATAAAATCGACATGAGTTTGATAACATTTCAGTTACTATTTTCATGTATTGTTCTATTACTTTTGTTGCAACTATTCTCCACCTATCAGTGTTCCAAAAGACTCCTAAACATGGATATGTTCGTACTCGTCTTAAAAGTAATGTCTGCTTGACCGGGGAATTCCGAATGCCTTTATTCTACCAATAATTGCAATGGTCTCTCGTACTGACAGGTCGTGTATCATAAGAGTTGAGACACGAGAATCTGAAACGAAATTGTAAAAAGATAATTTTTGCATCTTCAGTAATTCTGTGATGTAAGATATTTAGTTAATTGGACAGTTTCTCATTTTCTTTCTCTTCTAACCATTCCATAGGTCTTTACATGTTATTTGCTTTCTCATGAGGGTGCTGTTTGAGAAAATTTCTCAAAAGATAATTCAACTACTTCCGAAGAAATTGAAAGAAGAATAAATGATAAATGGAGAAACCTTAACTCATAGTTTAATTCTTTGGGATAAGGTGCAAATTGACACAGATTAAGTGAAAATTAATCTTTGTTAATATCTCAAGCAAGAGCTTCGAGCATATTTGGCTAGCTTAGAAAGTTCACAATAAGAAAGTTTTAAAGTAAGCATTTGTTTATTGGTCAAAGTTTGAACAAACTCTAAGTAACTCTTTTACATAAAAAAGGAAGGAAAAAGTAAGCTATCAAAATATATTTGGAAACAAAAACTTAAAAGTAAGAACAATTTATCCCACGGCATAAATGATCCTGAATATATCCTTTATTGAAGCTCAAATTTACTGTCAACATTATTTGTTCAAGAGTATCTTGCGGATGCAGGATGGTAACAATTATGAGATAAGTAATATCTTATTTTCCTTACAAGTTACAACTATGGAAGTTTGTTGTAGCTTGTGCCTAACCTAATATTAGCTGTAAGGTTTTTTTATGAAATAATTTTTAATTTTTAATTTTTTACATTGTGATAAGCAGGAGGTGGATATATGATAACTCATCCAAATCAAGGTAAAGAATGTGTTTTAAAACACATGCACGTTATAGATTGGAGGATCTGGACATCCTATCTAAGGAAAGCGTATGCAAGATCTAGCTATCTATATGCATTTACGTTGCTTTTGGGATTGGTCTCTTTATTTCAAATTAGTTGTTCTCTATTGCTTCAAGCAAAATTCGCAGGAAGACATTTGAATTTTAGTTGGAATGATTATAAATATTATTTTGTTTTGTTAACAGGTTATACGACCATATTTCATTATATTGAACCCATGAACCTCAGTTTTTAAAATTTGTTAGATCTGAAGAGGGATGTTATTGAAGGTTCCAAGGACTATTTTAGTTCTACCAACTTTTACTATTGTCAATTTACTGTAATTCCTTTAATTCAGTTTTTAATTCATAATTGTTTTTCTACTTATCAAATGTCTATATTAGCTCCTATAGCTTATTAGTTCTTACGAGATTTTAGATTTCATGTTCCTTTCTCTTGTTTAATGTTGTGTAGCTTCTGAATCAGCTTTTGGTTCGTCTTATGATTACTCAGCTAACATTGAAGTTAAAAAAAAATAAAATAATAAATAAATAAATAAATCCTTTTGAATTGGCTTGTTATTAATTATTCATAAGGCATTTTATATTTCCGTTTTCTATTATATTAGTCTTATAATTTGTTGTGTTTTCAGTGCATGGCTGAATGCACCTCAGCATAGAGGTGTGATTGTAAAAAACCCAATGTTTGATTCAGATTTAAATGAAAGGACTGCGTTTCCAAAGGGAAAAATTGGAATTGAGAAATCTAAGGGGGAACAAATTCATAGTAGCAACTAGCAGAAGCTCACCAAATAATAGTTTCTC